CTTGCTTGCTTGCTTGCTTGCACGGCGTTTGGGGGTGTGGGGAAACTTCTTCCACAGGGCTTAGGGGACTGTGAAGGTCCCCCGGCCTATTGGCCCCCGTATCTCTCTCGTTCTGAACCTGCATCGGCAACTGTATATGCACATGTACCTGTGCATGTAAATGTGTGTCTATGTATCTATGTATGTATGTATGTATGTATGTATGTATGTATGTATGTGTGTATGTATGTATGCACGCATGCATTCACTGCATGGGTGTGTGTGTGTGTGTGCATGTGTGTGTGAGATTTTCCTTAACACATGGACAAAGAGGGTCGCTCCTATATCGGTTTGCATTTTCGCACTGGAGGCGCGCCCTGGTGCAACGAAGCTTCAGTCAAGATGCCAGGATATGAGGTCTGATCAACCTCACGTACTTGCATCGTGATGAAGAACATAAATGCAACTAGAATAATCGCTGTGCATTGATTATCGTCGCCGTGGTTTCCAACCAGGCAACAGGCTTTGCAAATAACGACCCCGCCTCACCCGTCTTCCCTGCTTTCTCTTGCTCTTGCCGAATCCCAGTACTGGCAGCGGCATGTGCGGTTGGCGTCATGTGCATCTGACAACATGTGCAGTAACGGTGCGTCTAGTGCAAGTGCAGGCGCGCAGGATTACCCACTATTATGCTTCTTTTGTCCGCGAATGCAAGTGCATGTGTGTCTGACACGAGTGCAAGTGCAATCATGTCTGTGTAGCTCACCACTTCTTGGGAAGCCGAATATTTCGGCACCACACCTTTCGTTTTCTCGCCAGAGAAACCAACAGCGGTCCAGCTGCCTTGTTTATACGGGACACCGCTGGCTTTTTTGACTTAAATTGCTCAGCAGATGCAGCCGATGCCAACCCACGTGCAAAGTGGCCACACATTGCCACAAATGCAGCCAGCAACTCCGCTGCAATCTCAGCATCCAAATATGGAGCCAGATCCGAGCAACAGCTTGCTACCACCAACGCAGGTAGCACCACAAGCCGGCCTCAGCGCGATGCCACAACTGCAACAACCCCAACTACAAGCTCCATACCCATATACGCACATGAGCGCCAGCAACGAGCTGATGGCGCCACCACGGCAGCTTCGAATGCAGGGCACGCAGCCACGCAACCCGCACCCTTACATCACGCAACTTTACGAGTAGGCATGTATGCAGGTAAGTATGATTTTATCTACGATTAAGAAACTGTGCTTGTCGCGATTGAAACGGTAGCGAACAAAAAACAGAACAGCTACGCTGCCCACAATATCAAGAACAAGACTCCCATCCACATCTGAAAAAATATCACGCATGGAATGTAGCAACGACACCCAGGTGGTATTGACACAGCAACAGACGGGGAGCAACTGATAGTGACGTTCGCAACAACAGTTTATGATATTGAAAAGAGGAAGAATAGGCATAGTAGCCACATAGAAATCATGGCCACTTAAACACGGCTATGGAAGTCAACCCAACGAGTTCAGGGTCCTTTCGCTGAGCCACACTGAGCCGTAGAGATCCAGCTGTGGAAGGAAGGGTCACGAAATCCTTCGCGGCCGCAAGCCAGACAGGCCCAAGCACCATGAAGCTCCCGCCTCCTTCTATTATAGCGGCCTTAATAAGAGGAATAGGGCTTGGGGTATACTCTGGTATATATATAACTATGACAAGGAAGCCACAGGAATAATATTTGCTGGCGAATTTAGGCTCCTGTATTCAACACTTCCGGATGTTTCCTGCCGGCCACCCGCACGATTTACTCTGTCCATTTTGCATCTGCCGGGTCATACACCGTGTATACCAATGTAAAGTTTCAGCTCGGCCACCACCCAGACAATTTAGATCATGGCAGACCTCTTGGTCCTGTTGCCGGTTCGCATGTTTATCTGCAGAGAACTTCCAAGACTGATTGTTGCCTTTGCTAGTACTACTGGAAGGTATGCTCACCAACGTACAATTGTGAACATCATCATCCCGAAACCTAAAAATCTCGTAACACTCGTCTTCCCTGTCATCCCTAAGCCCTTAACGGCTCCCAAGCCCAAAGCGGCCGACCCAGCCTGCGAGACCAGCTCCTGCACCGCCGGCGTGCGGGAGGTCGGGGGCCAGGCCTGGCTAAGAATACTAACATAAGAATCAGAATAATAATAATAATAGTTATTAT